TGCGGCTGAGGACTCGGAGTGCCCATGGCGGGCTGACGGCTGCTGAAGCTGAGGGCGTGCTAATGCATAACCAGGAGCCGAGTCTTCCAATACTGCTCTTTGTCCCGGGAGATTGACACTCCTTGGATTTGGGTGGTGCTTTTGGTTTTCTTTACTGTCCAGGTGCAGGGAGAGGTTGCCCTGCATAGGGTCTGTGGCAGCGTTAGGCCCGGGAGCTCTCCTCATCTTTGCCTTTTTCCCCCCAGGGAAGTTTATCATGACAGCTTCCAGTGACACTACCATCCTGATATGGAGCCCGAAGGGTGAAGTCCTGGCCAGCATTAACACTAACCAGATGAACAATGCCTATGCCACGGTGTCGCCCTGTGGAAGGTGAGAGGCGTGAGGTATTCCAGGCTGCTCCCACTGCGGGGCGGGAGCCTGCAGGAGTGAACAGGAGCATCGGTATTTCCCAGAGGACATCATCAGTTCAGACCACCAGCAATGAGCTGCTATTTTAATGCAATATTCTGAGGATTCCACATTTTAAAAAGCAGTTCCAGGCCCTGACAGCAGCCCCTCCAGGAACGCTGGCTCTTGCCTGCGTGTCCTCAGACGCTCGGTGGGTTGCTGTTGTGCCTTGGTACTGTTCCTGTGAACTATCTCCTGCAGAGCCGAGGAGAACGGCATCGGCCTTGGGTAGCGGAGGTGGGACAATGCGAACGGCATAGTCGAAACAAACAGCATTTCTAACTTGTTCTTAACCTTTTAAAGGTTACTTATAAAATTAAAACCTTTATTGCTGAAAGATTGTTTATCAGGAAAATAGCGTTCTCCACTCTGTCTCTTGCCATGCTCCAAGCTCAGTGAGTTTGGGGATCAAAAGCACTTGGGGGTTTTTTTTATTTTGGCCTGGGAGTTTCTCATGCCCAAGCTGTGGTGTTGCTGCTCTGGTCCTGGTGCCCTTCCTTGGTGTTCCCTTTACCAGCCTGGGAGAAGTAAAAAGTGAAAACTTTTTCAGCCGACCAAAGCAAAGACGTGAACGTAGGTGTTGGGGTAGGTTTGCTTACACAGAGCCCTGCTGTAGGCACCATCTGCTCTGAGGGGCTTGCCCCACGGCTTGGGCAAAGCGGGTGCTCTGTGACAGATACCCCGTGTCTTTCCCTCAGGTTTGTGGCATCCTGTGGCTTCACCCCTGACGTGAAGGTGTGGGAGGTGTGTTTTGGCAAGAACGGGGACTTCCGGGAGGTGGCCAGGGCTTTTGAGTTGAAAGGCCACACTGCTGGCGTGCATTCCTTCTCCTTCTCCAATGACTCGAGGAGGTAAGCCTCTCGTCCCCTGACTGAACTGGAACACTCTGGCTCGCCCTGGGGATGTGTGAGCTCACCCTTCCAGGGGATGCCAGCAGCCCCTGCAGGGGGGCTGCACCCCTGTGTGGTGGGGGATCTGCTGCCCCGCGCGCTCTCCTGGGAGCCCAGGGCAGCAAAACCCTAGCTGGCTCATGCCGCCTGCCTGTTCCCGGTGGGTTTCCTCTTGAGGGTGACTGCTACCCGCGCTCTGGAAAGAGGACGCAGAGCGGATGTGTGTACAGACTCAAGCTTCCCAAAAGAGCTCCCTGGCCACAAAGGATTCCCGTTTCACAGGCGTGGCAGGGGAAGAGGTGCTGCCCAATTTCCTTGCTCTCATCTGTGTTCTGTCCCCTGCCCTGCAGGATGGCGACCGTTTCGAAGGACGGGACCTGGAAGTTCTGGGACACAGATGTGGAGTATAAGAAGCAACAGGATCCGTACCTGCTGCTGACGGGGAAGTGTGAGGTGACGGAGCCTTGCTGCATTGCTCTGTCTCCCGACGCGCACGTCGTTGCCATCTCGAGCGGCACAGACATTGTTGTGTACAACACGAGGAGAGGGGAGGAGGAGGAGCGCTTTCTTGCTGTGCACGCACAGTGCATAACGGACTTGGCTTTTGACACCAACAGCCGCTACCTGGTGTCGTGCGGGGACCGGGCCATCCGCGTCTTCCACAACACCGCTGGTCACAGGGCAGTGGTGGAGGAGATGGAGGCCATGCTGAAAAAAACTGCCAACAAAGCCACCCGAGAGAGGCTGGAGCAGCAGATCTCCAGTGCCCGCAAAGCGCTGGCCGCAATCTACGGCAAGAAGCAGTGACGTGTCCCAGCTCTCTGCGTTTGCGGGCAGCCGTGTTCTCCCTTTGGGGATTTATTTTGGTTTTTTTTTTCTTTTTAATAACACTGAACAACTTGTAATAAAAGAGACAGCGCACTCAGGGCCTTCCTTGTGATTTTTCTGACCGTAGCGACGGAGAGCTGGATGGTGCGTCTGCCTGGGGAAGGTGGGGGGCAATGGGGGTGACACTGGTTTCCTCCCAAGGGCTTGTCCTCATCCATTCTCTCATCGACATCCCCTGGGAGAGATTGCAGAGGGCTTTTTGGGCTTAGAAAAGGGAGTTTCTGTGGGATTTTTTTTTTTTTTTTGCAGAGGAGCTGCCCGAGCTCAATTTTTGATGCTAAACCGGGGGTTCTCTGCTGCATGGGAATGAGCAGTGCTTTAATGCTGCAGGGCTCCTTCCACCCGGGGCGGGGGGTTGAGGTGATGCACAACCGTTGTGGGCACGGCTC